TGGATAGTGATTCATAAAACACATTCATGAACCAGAGCGCTCTTACTAATCCAAGTACCGAATCAACACTTAAGAGAATTATTTATCTACTTCTTTCTTAAGAAGGTTTCCATCTCGTATAATAACATTCACAGCTACCTATTTCACCATGTCTCCAAAATACAAGGAATAGGATTCAGGGTCTCAGAATCTGTACCGAGTAAATTAAAAGACATAAATCCATAAATAGGAGTTTGTTAAGAACTTAGGATTAAGATCATTCTATATATGAACATCGGTAGACTCAATTAGAATTTCTATACTTAACAGAAATTATTAGAAATTCATATTGTGTCTGTATCCTTGTTCCACATAATCTTATTATGCGTAATACACTCATTCAATATCACATCATATTAACAGTGCGGATAACACCGTTCCATTCTAAATGGGAATGACATGTATTAGTAATGTTCTAATTAAAGATTCCAAACTTTAATTAGATTTATTACGAACATCACTTTTTGATTATTATCCTTAAACCTTATCATCTCGTATACAACACTTATATACCATGTTTAAGGTTACATAAATAATCATGAAATTTTTATTTGATTTTTATAAAATATTCATAAATATATGCACATAAAATGATGAATAAACTCTTTTATTAAATAAATAATAAATATCCTATTACATCTCATGCTTCTAGGACACTATTCCCAACAGAAAGATCCTGGTAGTTTCACTATACCATGCTCCATTGGTAATCAATACGTTTGAAAGGCATTATGCGATATGGGAGCAAGCATCAATCTGATGCCTATGTCTGTTTTCAGAAAGTTAGGAATTGGTGAAGCAAGACCCACCACTGTTACTTTGCAATTAGCTGACAGATCTTATGCTCATCCAGAAGGGAAAATTGAAGATGTGTTAGTGAGGGTAGACAAATGCATATTTTCAACAGATTTCATTGTGTTGGATTATGAAGCAGATAACGAGGTGCCAATTATCTTGGGTAGACCCTTTTTAGCTGCAGTCAGGACATTGATTGATGTGCAAAAGGGTGAATTGACCATGAGAGTCCACGATCCGCAAGTCACTTTCAACGTGTTCAAGGCAATGCGTTTTGCTGACGAGGTGGAGGAATGTTCAGCCATTAATGTTCTGGATTCACTAGTGGAGGCAGAATTTGAGAAGATATGCTCAGAAAAGCTGATACAAGAGGATGACCTGGCTGATTTTGAGGCAGAAGAGGACAACAATGATAGTCAAGTATCATGGATGGAGGGTAGGCACACATCAACCAGATCCAGGGGGCAAGTCGAATCACTGGAATTATCAGAAAGGACCTTTAAGCAACATAAACCCTCTGTGGAAGAGCCACCTGTGTTGGAACTAAAGCCTCTACCTGCACATTTGAGGTATGCATATTTGGGTGATTCAGACACTCTTCCAGTAATCATTGCTTTTGGACTAAGTGATATACAGGAAATGCAACTGCTGGAGGTGCTGAGGAAGTTTAAAAAAGCAATAGGATGGACAATTGCAGATATTAAGGGAATTAGTCCATCCATATGCATGCACAAAATTTTTATCTCATTTCAGACAGTCAGTGGGTGAGTCTAGTGCAATGCGTACCCAAGAAGGGAGGAGTGACTGTGGTACCGAATGATGCTAATGAGTTAATCCCCACACGCACAATCAAAGGCTGGAGAGTCTGCATGGGCTACAGAAAATTGAACAAAGCCACTAGGAAAGATCATTTCCCATTGCCATTCATTGACCAGATGTTGGACAGGCTAGCTGGCAGAGAGTACTACTGTTTTTTGGATGGGTATTCTGGGTATAATCAGATTGCAATAGCACTAGAAGACCAGGAGAAGACTACCTTTACTTGTCCATATGGGACTTTTGCATTCAGGAGGATGCCTTTTGGGTTATGCAACGTGTTGGAAACCGAATTGAATTCAGATGCGGAAGCGTGGCAGATCGTGTATAACAAAAATTTTAGAAAAACTTTTGAGATACTCTATAGATTATACTAATTTATGCATGAATAAATTAATCACATTAATTTATATATATCAAGAACTCAATCAGGAAAAATACCTAGAAGCCGACTCGGATGATAACTTGAGTTCTTTGTCCACGAACAGTCATTGCTCCAAGTTTTGTGTTTAGAAAACTAAAGTCTTCCACGTCAATTCCTTGATTCCACATAGACGTGTGTGTGGGCGCACGTGAGACAAAACAGGTTTCAGAAACACTCGAATTTCCACAAACACCAACGCATGCACGATGTGGAATTTTTTTTAGGAGAAAAAATTTTCCTCTCTTTTTTTCTTTGAGAAAATTCGGCCACCAACTCTTAGGGCAGAAAAAATTGCTTTCAAAAATTATGTTCACAATTTTCTATCATTCTCATGTTTAAAGAGTAGAAGTCAAACTTCAAAACAGACTCAAATCTCTATCTCCTATTTGAATTTGGAACAACAAAATCTCCTCTACTTATCCCTAAAGTGGCCGGCCACCCCTAGGGTTTTCTAACCTTGTGTGTGGCGCCAAAACTGGATAAGGAAGGAAGATAATTCATCCTTTATCCTGTAGTCTAATTTTAATTCAAATTCAAATTCAAATTTAAGTCAAACTTAAATTAATTTGAATTCCAAATTGAACAACTTATCAAATAAGTTCAAAAGGATAAATTTAAATTATGTTCACAATTTAAATTCAAATTTAAATAATCACATTATTTAAATAATAATTAATTATCAATTAATTATTT